GTGGAGTGGATTTTTTGGGTTTTCAGTACAATCAAGTTCGAACAGGGACACAAAGATAGATGTTAATACAAGGTTTGCAAAACAGGGATGCAGCTTAAAGTAACAAGACCACCTCCATCTCAAAAGTTACGTCCGGTCTCCAATTTGAGAAGAAGGGATCCAAAACATGTGAGTCACAAAACCTGACTGAAACAACTTCGAGGCCCTATATCAGGAGATACCCATAGAACCCTCAGGCGTCCCAAATGGCGTTGCCGTTCTTGCAATATGTCAAGAGGAGGCGAAATGTGACTGATGCATTCCGCCGGGGCCTGAGCTCAGGCTTCGAGGCGGATACAGAACGTTTGCCTTGCCTTTCAAAGTGATGGAACGATATATCGCTCGGAGAGTGGTGTGCTTTGGTGGTTTGGTATGCATTTAAGATGCGGCTTGATCTCAAACAGAATTTTCAAGTGCGGTCGATGGTCAAGGACCAGGAGACACCTTGATCAGTGCAAGGCCATCTATCCTGCCGATTTGCTAAGTCCTGGAAGCGCGTGCCTCAACGCCTTCAACGTTTAAACGCCTCAGTTTGAGGCAAGCACGGCAATTTGTTGAAATGTACTTCCTCCGTCCGGAATTAATTGTCCTCTACGACTTTGGTGCCTTATTTCTCTATCATAAGTACTTCATTTCTCATTCAAATTTCTTGAAAAACTACGTCTATGTTTTGAGAGTATGCAGTCAAAATTTCAAGTCAATCTGTTGAGTATTGCGGATTTGGCAGCACTTTGCAGCAAAGGTCATCTAGCCAGAAACCCACCAGTTTTTCAACATCCGTGCTGGAATGGCCATTTTCCCTGTTTTGAGAAGCACGCCTTTGCGGCAGCGCTACAGAGCCGCCCGGGCAAAACTATCCATGTCATTTGGACAGAAGATCATGGAGGTGCTGTCAAAAGAAAAGGGCAACAGAAAATGTGTTTTGAAAGTCTTGATCGTGGAAGTCGCCGTGTCTTGCGGCTGCAATTCAAGTTCGATTGGCCAAATCAGAGATGCCCATCAGGTCCAAATTTCTGAACCACGACTTTTGGACCTCCAACTCCACTATGAGGGATACTGCAAGAGGCCCCCCAAATTCCTTGCAGACCTTTAGGAAGGTGGTGGACATCACCCCAATCAGCGGCGGACAATTAGGGGGCAATTAGGGGGCAATTAGGCAGTGACCCTCCTGGATAGGAATAGTGAATCGACCATTTTTTGGCACTTGAAGGGCTTGAGCTTGAGAAGACTAGCTAGATAGATAAAACTATGTCTCTCAAAGGGAAACGCACTTGTTGGGCAGCGATAGATTGTGGATTGCATGCAAGAATTGGCAGATCGTGGCAGTTTGTGACGTGTGGGCCAGGCTGCTCACAAAAACAACGATTCAAGCCTCAATCGAGGCAGATTGTCCAAACAAGTCTACTGCATAACCTTGGAACAATAGCTCGCACATAGCCCAAGCTTGAACCTTGTACCCTAGCCTTGTCCGCTTGCTTTACGTATGCACGTCAAAGATCGACGATGGCCGAGATTTCAAGAATCGTCAAAATTGTGATAATGGCCTCCCACGATGGGGATCCAAACACGCTCGCGCGTGTTTGGCGAGCGCTATTCCACGTAAGGGACACCGCCCTTCACTCTAAAGACGACAACGACTTATCTTTAGCGCACCAAGGACGGGAGTGACCCAAAAACGTGCGGTTCTCTGGCAGATGCGGAGCAGTTCACGGCTGGATGGCCCAGATGCAACGCAGTTGCGACATGTTGGAAAAGTATATCCTCGAGCTGCCGCGATGGATGCCTCCCTACCAAACGCAAAAAACAACGTGGCCACACTGATTTTCAGGCACGGCAAAAGTTCATGAGTACGGAAGGTATGGGAGTTCAGCGCTTCGATGCGCGAAATCGCTGTGATTCGTCAGCGTCAGCGACGAGTTTGAGGGACTTGCGTCTGTTGTCGGCAAACCGTCGACGATCGTGTTCTGGTGCATTTGGATTTTCCAAATATATGCAAAGCGCAACATCCCGCTCACTGGGTGGCTTTCGCAAACTAGGCTGGTGGGGCAGGTGACATAAATGGCCTATCGCCATTTTGGGGGGCCGATCTTTGTACCGATTTAGATCTGCACCCCTGGTGACGTTTTGGATTGTTCCCGTCAACCGGGGTCCTTGGCGCCGAGTTGCCTATTACCTTGGTTTCCTTGCATATTCTGCCAAACTATGGCGCGGCGTTGTTGCAGAGGCGCTGCCAAACGCTGCGTTGCGACGTGCAAGGGCTTAATATACTCTGCAATGAAATCATCCAAATACGCCAAAATCCGAGGGGTCCCAGAACCGGCGATGCACGGACTGTACGCAAACGCGTTACTTCCTCCCTCGCAGCGTCTTGCACGTTCCCACCGCACACAGCACACCCAGATCGAATGGCGCTGGGGAGATGGCAACACCAGTGACCATAGCCATCCGCCATGTCGATGCCACTGTGTATACACAGTCACAATGCTGTAATAGTGATTGCTATAGTACGTATTATGACACTGCACACTCGTGCCACTGGTCTGTGAATCCGCGAAGTGCTTCGCTACCGCCTGAAGGATCTTCGGCGTTTCCAGTCGCTCCTCGCTTCATCCACAGCGAACCCCAACATCCCCATGTGTCGTTATGTGGAGGCAGCATGTCCGCGGGATCCAGGTCGCGAGTCGCGACCATTAATTCGCTGATCAAATGACATACCAATATGCCAGATTAGTGTGCTTGTTCGAAGACACATCACAAATAAGACTGTTCTGACTCAATCGTTGGAAACAACCATAATTGAGAATGCAATCGGGCAATAGTTAATTAAAAGGGGCCAGCAAAATGCGCTTTGTGATGCACAACTCAATGTAATTTGGAATCTATCCATGTAGCCTGGGTCTGCATGAAAAGGTACCCATGTTAGCAAATCATACGTAACAGTGCTAGTGCAACATCGCCGTGGCAAGGATAGCATTGTCATGATTTGTGCCGAGCAATGTATCCATCATATCTCTTAGAGGCGCGATGGATGTACGCGTCTAGGTAACAGGCCATCAGGTGGCCGAATACTAAATATTGCCAAAAGCTAGTTGCGCCATTATTGGTGAACGATCTTCATTCAACAGTATCCCTACCAAGTTCATTGCGACCATCAAATTGCATACAACGAACTTTTGCGTCTGAAAAGTGCATGCCTCGATGCGCATTATTTAATGTGCAGCCCACAGCACGACTTCCCAAACAATGAAATTCAGCCCTTTTGTAAGCGCTTCGTTGTAAGCATGGCATCGGAAAGCGTATCCTGTTGTCGACAGGATGTGCGCATTGGGGAACCTGCCTTGACCCAAACGGCGTTCATGCTTCCTCAGGCCTGCCCGTCCTACGCCATCTGGACCCGGCCCTGCACCCTCCGGACCCCGTCCTGCGCGCTCCGGACCCCGTCCTGCGCGCTCCGGACCCCGTCCTGCGCGCTCCGGACCCCGTCCTGGGGTCTCCAGACGGCGTCCTATCCCATCAGTCATTGCTGGCATCACCGCAGGACCGTCCAGGACCCTTCAAGTGCCCCCCAGGACCGTCCCGGTTATGGCCAAAATATGTCCGGGACCGTGCGCCCTGGACCCCGTCCCAGACGCAGTCCTGGACGCCAAGACCTAGTCCTGAAAATACCCTGTTCTACTAGTGAGGACATCTGGTGTGCACTTATTGTTGTGCCATGAAAGCGCAAGTTTCGACAGGTACAAGTACGACCAGCTAAATAGATGTTCTGTTTGAGCCACCCGTGGACGAGTGGAAATTTTCCACCTGGTGGCACACACTCGCTATCTTCCAAGATGCAGATATGCAATCTCATATCTTCACCAGAAACGGAACCTAGAAATATCCAAAATTCTCAAAACTCAATCCTAGGTCACCTAGGATGTCTCCGAAGGGCGAGCGACGGGTCCCCCGCGATTGGCCCTGGCACGATCACAGGCCCTTGCCGACGTTTTAGTCAACCTGGGCTGCTCCATCACCAGTACAAACGACATACTGGGGATGCCCTCTGTGATGCCATTTGGCAGTCAATGATGCCATCGCAGCTATTTTGCGCCATCACAGTCACTGTAGTAGCGGCACTTGCTGTCAAAATGGCATTGAATTGTCGTTGCAAAATGTTGCAAAATTGTGTTGTGCCATTGCATCTTCTTGCCGTCTGAGACGAGCGAAGCGTATTGTTACAGATTTGGGACCGCAAGGAGAGTCAACACACTTGAGAGTTCCATCACAAAGCACACCCAAAGGGACACGCAGGGAGCCAAACTCTTCACAAGCCCAGCCAGTCAAATACAAAGATCACTTCACGTTTTAGAAAACACCAGTGGAAAACGACATTATTGCGATCCCAGCTGCGATGCCATTTGACATTAATTGATGCCATCGCAGCTACCAGTCTGCCATCGCAATCGCTGTAAAAGCGTCGCTTAGCGTCAAATGGCATCACAGCTGGCATCGCAAAACTGTGGTTTCCACTTGTGAAAGGTGAACAGATTGCGGCCAAGCTCTACTGATCCTGTCAATGTCAATAAGGGTAGATTCTAACCACCCCAGTTGCCACGGTCAGCACGCCATTCTCGTTGAATTAAATGACAGAGGCGTCACCAGCCTGAGACAAGAGTAGTGCCTCAGCTGCGTCAAATTAAATGTACACCCAACACCATCTCCACACCCCGCTCCCCCCCCACCACCACCAACAAAAAGAAGAAAAAAAAAACAGCTGCGGTGCATCGCAGGGTGAAAAGAACCTCCAGACTGTTGCCTTCAATTTCTGGCACAACAGAACACCCGCGCTCACTGCGGATTGCACCGGGCAGGGAAGGCGTCCGTCGCGCCACCGCTGCATGGCGCCAGCCCCCGGCGCGAGAGCACGGGTGCCGCCTCCGGCCCGATAGCACTCAGCTAATCGGCGCTGATCTTCGCTGATCATGGTTCCGGGCTTCGACGACGACGACGACGGCATCGACTGGGAGGACGCCATTGATGGCCTGAAGGTGGCCGAGGCGCGATTCACGCAGAGGGAGGCGGCCTCGCAGGTGCGGGTGGCGGGCGTTTGCTTGGAAATTTGGGAAAGGGCTCGAAAACTAAGAAGAAAGAAGAAGAAAAAGAAACAGAGGATTCGAAACGTGGTGAAGGGGGAAGTCTGCGAGTGAGTGGGTGTGTGTGGTCGTCGTTGTATTTGTGGGTCGGCGGGAGAGAGGCGAATTGAATTGCCACGGGCAGTGCGCCGCGGTGGTTGAAGGGCCGGGGGTTGCGAGGATGGGCCGCTGTGCGTGAGAACGGGATGGGGCAAGATTTGTTGCAAAGAGAGAAGGAAACAGGTCATACAAAGGGCAAACCCTCCTAAGCAAGTGTATACGAGACTCTTTTCCATGCTGTGAATCGATGGCATAGAGTCTCCGAATCAATATGATGAGTGCACAACGCAAACGAACGGGAACAGCGGGGTGGGGGGTCATGGCCCCACACGCGAACTTGGCGCAGTTACGCGGACGCGCCGTTCGAAAGTGAATCTGCGCCGGAGGGGTGGGACGGGGTGTGTGGGTGCCTCCACGGCGCAGTTGGACTCCCAAGGGCTGAAGTCATTGATTCAATATTGCCTTCACGGGACAAAACGGGGCCCTTGCCCTTTGCAGGGTACGACGGGCAGACGTCCGTTGGAACGGTTCGCCTCCCATTCCCTCCGGATCCCTTGCGACGAAAACACCCGCTGCTTGGGCGACTTTGGCTTCAGGAAATTCGCAATTCGGTACTCTTGTAGTACTCTTGTTTCAGGGAGAGCTGGTCTTGTTACAGATGTCCAAAGACGACAATACACGCCCCATGCATATTGTGGACGATGACAATCACGATGCCACGCACCAGAGTCCGCGAATCCACTTGTCCCTCGTGCATCCAGCCTGTCGATGGGCCCATTCGACCCCTGAAACCGTGCTGTGTTGCACAGGGCCCCCCTTCACAAGTGTCTCCCAAACCCGCCCAGAACTGCACCAGCGTCCGACATCTGTTTACCAAGTCCAGACTGCAGGGTCCCAGCGTCGCAACAAGGCCCCCACGGCCAAGCAAGGCATCGACACCGGGCCCATCCAACTCCTCATATCGCCCAATCGCCTTACCAACTTTGTGTCCCGATCAGCATCAAAGCCACACCACAGGTGGGCTCCCCCAATTGCGTGTTCGGTTGTTGTTGTGCACAGTGTTCTGTGCCACATGCTGTTCGTGCTGTGCAAGGAGACTCCAATGCCATTTCTGGAGAGCAGCAAGTAACTTGAGAAGGCTTGCTGGGATGTGTGTGCCTTTTGTATGACAATTTCTCCATCCATCTGACAAATATGTTCGCAAACACGTGACAGGATTCCTACAAGGTGGCTCTGTCCTGGAGGACAGCTCCCACGTTGGCGGATCCACTAACTTAAACACTCTCAGAGCCTCTTCAAGCAAGGGCACAAGTTCGTCCGGCCGGCCTTGGCCTGGCCAGCAGGGGCCTGGAGTGAGCTCCTCTTCAACACCCAACCAGGTGAGGTGGAGTCAGAATGGCAGCAACCAAGGTGGGCCCCATCGGCAACTTCCCAGGTCCTTTGAGGCATGCCAACTGACAGCTGCACCACAGGCCGCAGCTTCCCACATTCTGCTGGGAAAGTGTGCCAGCAGAGCCTCCTCAGGCAGAGATGCATGCTCTTCAGGACAGCGCTGGGACCAGGGTCCTGTAGGCAGCTGCGCTTCGCCACCCAACCAGGCGACGTGGAATCAGGGTGGCAGTGACCCAGGAGGCGCCCGTCGGACACTTCCCAGGTCTTTGGGGGGATGCCAAGTGGCGGCTGCACCACAGACCGCAGCTTCCAACAGACAGTCTGGACAGTGCGCCAACAGTGGCCCTGTCAAGGTGCTGCCACTGACTGCATCCCAATTGGTCGTCTGTTTCCCCATCAGTGCATGCATGACCCTCAAAGTTCATATCACTTTTGCTCTGATTCCAAATTTTGTATCTCGTTTTAGAGAGCCAGGCCTTTTGCCACCAAGCAAGAAATCCCAGGAGAGGCAAAGCCCCCAAAAGGTGTTCATACCCAAATGAGTGCTCACAAAGTTCATTGTTTTGCCCTTTGTTGAGGTCTTCAGCTCTCTCTGTTTCTCAGCATTGCTGCCAGTGGGGTTCAAGTGAAATGCCGCTACCAGTGTTATCCAGTTTCACATGCCACTGTGGTCTGTGGGGTCCTGTGTAGTTGGTATGCTGTGATTGACTTGGAGGTTAGCTTGTGCTTTAGGTGAGCGCTGTGATGCCCTTGTAGACCACTACCGAGCGGATGCCATGTGATTGTCTGAGTACAGCAGAGACACGTGACATGAACGGAGTCTCATGTTTTGGTTTGACGCTGCCTGGAAGGCTGCGCCTTTCAGTGCACCTTTTTTGTAGACTTCGTTGATGGAATGATGACCAACATGCCCCAGCTGGTGCAGGGGCCATGCATTGTAGCTGCTTTGATTTGTATTTGGTGCATTGTGTTGCCATTTGTTCACAGTTTTTGTGTTGTCATTAAGCATATGAATTCAAAGGAATTGGCTTGGTGATTTGCTCTTATGAGCCTCCTGCCGAAATGGTTGTCTTTATGCATGGACGATGAATCACCATCAGTTGTGCGGCTGTTTGCGTTCGACACATTCTATGTCTCATTCTGCGGGATGTCAAGGATAGACCTTGCCTGGCTCATTCCTTTCTGTTACAAAGCACATTTTTCTTGACTTGCTTTTGTGTGTGATGCTCAACAAGGTAGCAGCACGGCCGCCGCAGCCTTGCCTTCTGTACAGTGCCTGGATGAAACTGGAGGGCCGTGGCCAATTGTGCGTCAAATTCAGCGGTTACCATGAGCAGCTGGCAGCAGCATGCATGGCCATCCCTGGTGCCCGTCCTGATGCATGGAAGGTGGAGTTCCGGTTTCCTGTGGAGCAGTACAGCACAGCGATGACTCAGCTGGGGGAGATCAAAGGAGTACAGCTCAAGGTGCGAAATTCTCTTTATTCTGATCATCTAGTTCAGCACCCATCCCAGGTCTCTTTGATACAGCCAACAAAGCACTCAACAAGGAACAATGCATGCTGAGCAACTGTCAAATTCCCGCAGTGTTCCCAAGCTGTTCTTTCCATGGGCATGTGAAGAGACATTGTGGAGGCAATTTCCAGCAGTGTGCTCTCTTGTCATCAGTATATAGTGTTGCTACAATGCAAAGGAACAATGGCAAGGGAGCATGTGTTGTCATTGTGTTGGCGTTTGGCATCAGCAGCCTGCAAATCAAATCTCTGCATATTTTTACCAGAGTGTCACCACACAGCTGTGGCCAACAGACACAATTTTTGGTGGAACACTGTGCATTTTTGTTGCCATCTTTTTTGGGAATTTATGTGTATGAAATGGTCCTTCTCGATCGTGTGTCCCTGTGTGGAAAAGGTCTTCTATTTGCAGTATTCTCAGTGTGCAAGACATCCCTCCTATTGTAGTTGAAATCAAGGTTCTCAACTCTTCTTTTGCTGCATGTCCCACTGCTGCTACCCAGTCAACACAGTGCAACTCACAGCATTCCAATATGTTGCCCATCAGCAACACCAACCTTACTGCGAGTGCAGCTGAAAACAAAGGCTTTTATGGGCAGTTGGGGCAGATGCACAAGCTAAGTGTGTCACACTTCCATCCTCTTGCTGGCACGCGAGCGTGCCTAATGCATATGTGGACAAAGGCAATGAAGGAAGCCACCAAGTACAAGCACCAACAGTATAACCAACAACATATATAACCAACAGTATAACCACCAACAGTATAAGCTTCCCTCAACGCTGGGCTTTTCATTTCTCCTCTACTCAGTAGCAGATGTATTGGTCGGTTTCTTTTCTTTCTGCCATCGTTGTCGTGTTTGTCCAAATGGGTGCAGTGTCTGTCCTGCCTTGTTAACAACTGTAGCTGTTGATATTTCACTTGCAAGCCCCATTGCTCTGAGAGTATCCTTTCCAACACTGTTACACTGTGGCAAGCACATGAGCCCAATTCAGACGCTTGAATGCGATGCACGATTTTGGAATAAAGGAAGAAAAACTCAGAATGGGCCGTGCAAATGCCGACATTGCACAAGTGCCATTCTGTGTTGGTTTCCAATCACGATAACCCATTACAAGACAGCCCTCACAACACAAGCAGCATCAAATTTCCCAGTACTGTGCCTGCTGCGTCCAGAGCATCGCTCTTGACCAAATGTGCAACACCAGGTGCATGGGCTGGAGGAGCTCCCCAGGCGTATATTGGAGGTGGCAGCAAAGGCACAGGATGAGTCCCATCACTATGACTCGCTGCCAGAGCACTTCGAATCCCAGCTGTTGGGCTTTCAGCGGACGGGAGTGAAGTTCGCACTGAAGCATGGCGGCCGGGTCTTGATTGGTGAGTCCTTCTGTTCGTGACCTTTTCTTGTGCCCATGGTAGAACCATTGGCGATTAATTGTGTCGGATGACAGATTGAAAATCAAACAGTAGTTGAATGTGTCAGTGTGCTTTGACAACAGCACATCATCAAAAACTGCCCTTGGTGTTTAGAACGTGACAGCAGGAGTTTGATGCTTTTTACAATACAAATTATTGGAAAAGCTCTGACAAGTTTATGTTGGCAAGTTTGAGGGGCTGGACAAGTCCATGCACAGTTTGTTGTGTTTGATGTGTTAATGAGTCAGTGATGCAACACACCCCTTGTCTATATGTTGCTGCTTGTGAAATGCAGGGAATATTCAGTTGAGCTCCGATTATCCATTATTGTAGCAGATTAGTATGTGCTTACACTCTGTAGTTACAGAAAAGCACTGCTGTTGTTATCAGATCAAGTTCAGATTACATTGGCAAACACGGTGAGGCGTTTCCCAAACACCTTCAATGCAGTGGCTGTCCCATGTCCATCCATGCTCTTTCCTTCCAGACTACTGGTCCACTCCCTCGCTCAGAAGCTGCAGAAATTCCCCCAAGCAAACAAACTCAGAAGCAGCCCAATGCCTGCAGGCGATGAGATGGGCCTGGGCAAGACAATACAGGCACTGGCGGTGGCCAGGGCCTTTGAGGACGAGTGGCCTGTGCTGGTGGTGTGTCCCTCCTCCCTGCGCGAGCAGTGGGCAGACGCCATCTGCCGCTGGCTCAAGGTGCCTGCGGATGGTGTGGTGGTGGGGTACAAGCAGGCCGATGCCGAGCGGCAACTCCGAGGGGCCTCCAGACGGAACCTGCAGTTTGCTGTGGTGTCATACGAACTGGTGACCAGGGTGCAGGAGCTGCTGCTGGCAGTGGGGTTTGGTGTGGTGGTGCTGGACGAGGCACACATGATCAAGAGCCCAAAGGTGGGGCAGGGGCAAAAGACTGCCTGCTGCAGTGAGGCAATGGGGCAGTGGCACAAAGCAGTCCTAAAAGTTGTAGTGGAGATGTGTGCCAATTGTGAGCATGTGGTGAGCACAGATGTTGGCACGTGCACCTGCATTGTGTACTTGCTGTGTGCACGTATGGACATTGCAAAGTGACAAAATGTGCAAAGTGGAGATGCAGCAGCAAAGCACTGGCTGAGATTGGCAGTGTGGCAAAAGACTGAGAGCTTGCAGAGTAGTGTGCTGATGGCTAGGAGGCCATTTGCAGCTGCCCGGCATCCCCAAGTGGTTCAAATGCTATGAACTATCACACGGTGGTGATACAGTCGCTCCCAGTTTATCCGTTGATGAGCTGGTTGATGTCCCCAGGCTGCCCGCACAAAGGCCTGCATACCCATAGTGCAGAAGACCAAGCGGGCAGTGCTGCTGTCCGGGACGCCCGCCCTGTCAAGACCCTTTGAGCTTTTTGAGCAGTTGCGCTGCCTGCTTCCTGGCGCCAAGCTCAAGCAGCTGGAGTATGCCGAGCGATATTGCATGGGTGGGACCACGCCTGGGTTTGCATTTGTTTGGAAGTTGAGAGTTTTCAATGCGACTTTCTGTCGTTTGGGAGTGCTTGCTGTGTGGCTGACTGTGTGAAGCGCTGCACGGCCAAGACAGGTTGCTGGACTTCAGATCCCTTGATTCGTTAGGCCGGTTTCTGCTTGAGCTGTTCACAGTTGTGTAGCCTTCCTCACTTGTGCATATTTTTTAACGTACTTGCCAACCTTTAGTCTTTGCCACATGGAAAGGAGCCTCAAAACACCTTGTTCAAGAGGCAGGTGTTTTTGTGCGTATCTCGTATCCAATAATGTCCAAAATGTGCTTCGTCTTCATTGTGAGAAAAAGGGCATCCGGTGTGCGCAGGACAGCTGCACATGACAGGCACAATAAGAGAAATTGAAACTGAGTTGACACAGTTGCATGATGCACTGAACTGGAGTGGCAATCTTCAAGTGACACACGACCACAATCACCAAGAACTGCATACTTGATGGGGCAGGCATGGAATCACCTTGCGCCGAATGGTGCCAAGAAGGATCAAAGGCAGTGACTTGATGTGTTGCGATGCAAGCTACCATAACAGCCTCTGCACACTCCAATTTTGCAGGTGACAGGTTTTCCAAATACAAGGGCTCCAAGAATGAGGAGGAGCTAAATGCTGTGCTGATGGCAAGTGTAATGATCCGCCGACGAAAACAAGATGTCCTTTCTGAACTCCCAGCCAAGACACGCCAGCAGGTGAGCAAGCAGCTGCTGTTGTTTTCCACAATCCATATTTTTGCATCCCCAGTGAAAGGTTCATCAAAATAGCTGCTTGTCAACGACATGGTATGGGTATCAGCTTCCATTTCACCCAGTCAAAGCAGTGCCATTCAATGGTGCATGAAAATCAAGATTTTACAGTGTGAGTCAGCCAGAACACAATTGACCTGGAACGTATTTTAGATTTTTCCAAAAGATGTGCAACATCGGTGATAGTAGCAATAAGGCAGTGCCTCAGCCAGGTGCAGGATATCCAAGCCCAATCCAGGAGCTACTCACTTCCACAAGCAATAGGCGCAGGTCTCTTGCTGGTTCATAAGACAGTTGTTGTTGCTGTTCCTGCTTTTGTTTTAAAAGAAACACCACAATCAGGAGTTAGGGTTCCACTCAACGTCCTAGCTAAAGCATTATGTGCCTGGTACCATCTCAGGAAAGGCAAGGTGATGTAGAGCCAAAAAGAAAATGAATGGACAACCTCGCAGAAGGGAATTCAGCACAAAAGGGTTGGGATGGGCAGATCAGAGGTCACAGGAGATCGCAATAGCTCCTTTGCCCTGGTGATCAGCATCGAAAGAATTTACCTGATAGCCAACTTTGTCCATTCACAAGTTGGTGTTGTTCATGTTGTCCACACGTATGTCCAACGATCTTCAGTATGCATTGTCCCTCTCATTAAGTCTTCTCTGTGTTCACACCCAAGCACACCATTCCCCCTGAATGGGGCCATCGCTGTCCACATGCAACAGCTCTTTGCGCTACAAGCTTCCCATTGTGGTGAATGGATGGGCCTCTGCTGTGTTGCATATTTTCGCGTTTCAACCTGAATGTTCTGCACATTTCACAATTCTCACATTAAGCAGATTCTTCTGTGGACATTATGCGGACTATAGAGCTGCAACTTTCAGATGTGCTTTTCTGGGGTGTGTGTGTGTTTTTGCTTATTTGGGCTTTTGAATTTGCCGGCAGATCTACCTGTCCCTCACTGAGGAGGAGAAGGGTTCTCTGGTGGCCATGAACAAGAAGCGGGATGCCGTGACAGATATGATTCGGCGGCTGGTGCAGCAGGGCACGCCAGAGTCGGAGCTCAAGGCGGAGAACAACCAGGCGCTTAATGAATACTACACTGAGACAGCAAAACTCAAGGTGACTGAGAACCACTCCAAACCCTTGTCATGGTGCATAGACTGCATCCAACAATTGCCTCGACGCTTTGTGCAAAATCAGCAGCCCGAGAAAGTCAAGGCCACCCTTTTTGCTGCACGTTTGCCTGGATTCATGTTCAGATACACCAAAATGTATCCAATTTCAAATCCAATTTTAAACAAAGAATCTGCTAAAGGAGTCTTTGCCTGTGCTGAGCCACATTCTTGAAAGGACATTTAAACATAAAACTCTACGCGCTTGTTTTCCAGGTCAGGGCCGTGCAGGCCTACGTGAACGACCTCCTGGAGGCAGACGACAAGTTCCTAATCTTCGCCCACCACAAGGACCTGATCAACGGCATCGAGAAGGCTCTCAACCGCAGAAAGGCATCGTACATTCGCATAGATGGCGAGACGCCGCCACACAAGCGAGACGAACTGAAGAACAGGTTTCAGGTGAGAAAGGCAATGTTTGACCTTGGGCTTGAGATATGGAGCCGAATGGAAACAGTGAAATTCCCATTTGCAAAATCTGTCTAAGTCTAATTGCAACAGATTCGAAAGACTAGATCATACTAAGCTCAAAGTAAAATAATTGAAAGTGAATCGTGACGGTTTGTATTTGTCACACATGGTGAAATTGTGCATTGATCTACTGTATGTTTGCCATTGAATTCTGTGCGACATGTCTGTTTTGCGGCGGCGAAGTCTGTCCACAGCAAGTGACAGCCATCCCTGGCCACGATTTCCGGTGAATGCAGTCCCATGCCTGATGCGCTGCGCGCCCTGCACCAGGTAAAAGTGCAACAAACACTCTGGACTTGCTGCAGACGGGGCATATGGCCTTTAAAGTCGAAACATGTCTTTAAAAAAATCCCAATTCAATGCAAGGCTCTTTCTCCTTGCCCCAGGAGGACTCAAGCGTTCGGGCCGCCGTGCTGGCCATTCGGGCCGCCGGCGTGGGCCTCAACTTCTCCTCCGCCAGCTTAGTCATCTTCGCGGAGCTGACGTGGGTCCCAGGGGAGGTGGTGCAGTGCGAGGACAGGGCGCACCGAATCGGCCAGGCCAGCGCCGTGACCGTCCAGTTTCTGTTAGTGAAGAATTCGATCGACGACATCATATGGCAGGTAACACTACCAAGAAATAGATAGTATTACAGCCTGCACCAAATCGGTGACTGCTTGCACCAAATCACGTGCACACTATGTCCTAACCTCAGTTTTACGGTCAGGTTAGTTTTAGGGTGAAGTATCAGGGTTAGGGTTACGATAGGCTTAGGGTTCGATTTTAGGGCTTAGGTTTTAGATTGGGTTAGTTTTGGAGGGATTTGGTGCGAGCAGTCACCGATTTAGTGCAGAAAGTCACCGATTTGGTGGTGCAGCCAGTAACTGTATGCCGCCAAGAAGCGCGATGTTTGCGATGCCAAGTGTGATGCAGTTTCGACGCTGAATGGTGCTGACGAGGGCAGGCGAGTTCGAGGGATGGCGACCCCGAACTGGGGATCGTGGGCTCGAGTCCATGGCAATGGTTTACAGCCAAGCAAAGGGACAACAGGAACTCTGCCCCTTATATCCAGTTCGTTCATCAATGTCCATAATGCAAGTCCTAATGCCTCGCCACCTCTTCATGCGTCCAGCTGTTAATAATACTCAATCAGTTCTATTTGCAACGGTGCCATCGCGGTGACTGTGATGGCGTGAAGTTGGCTGCGGTGGCATCAGTGAGTGTCAATGGCATCGCAAAAATGCCGCTTTCTGCTGGTGTAAGGCCCCGTCGCCCCCGTCGCCATTGCCAGCCAAGAATGCAATAGCGGCGGAAGGCACGCGGGACCAGCAGAGAGACCGCTTGCACCATTGTACGCATGCTATTGAACCAATAATTAGATTACGAACGCCCTTGTACTCAAAATTGGTGCTGCGCCAACATGGCGAGAGGTGACCTATCTAGTAGTTGGTGGTTGTTATTCACCAATAGAAACAATTTTTAAGCAGAAAAATAGAACTAAAACAGTAAATATATGTAAGAATATTTTTGGTTTCTATTGGGTTTTCACGCATTGTGTTCTGCTGTCAAACCCTGCGCCTGTCGTGCCTTGGAGTGACGTGTTCAGTGACGCCTGGGGTTCATCGCGTTTCCCCAGACCCTGTCGACCAAGCTCAACAGCGTGGGCCACGTGCTGGACGGGCAGCACCAGTCCCTGCGTGTGCAGTCGCGCACCAACCTCGAGAACCCCGGCCAGGCCAACCTCACGGAATACCTGCGGCACAGCTCCAAGGAGCCGCGGCCCGGCAGCTCCCCGGCCAAGCCTGGGCCCCAGGGCCCGCTGGCCGAGGGGGCACGCCGGGGGGGGCCGTGGTCGGGGGGGCAGGAGGGGAGGAAGCGAGGCAGGGACGGCAAGGACATCCTTGCGTACTTTGGCAAAGCGGAGGGGGAGGCTGGCGGCGATGTGAAGAGCCGCAAGGTGCCGGTGGGTGCTGGCTGTGGGGAGGACGGTGACGCGGATGCGTTTCTGTGAGCTCTGTGCGAGTGGCAGTTTCTGCGCAAGATCCGAATCTTGGAAGTGGAAGTCGCGAATTTGGGAAATGCGGCACCTGCAAGAAATGGTGATGGCGCGGGGTTTGTGGGCGGGACCCTGTGGGGTGCTGCTCGGCTTGATGTGCTGCACGAATTGGTTCGACATGGTTTGGGACTGGCTTGGCTGGGGTAGTTTTGCCTTGCAGGCAGGGAATCGGAAATGGCAAAATGGATTGCTGGGGCCAGCAGGCTGCTTGGAGGGGGGGACTCCTCCCAGGCAGGTGCACCATTTGTAGATTAGGATTCTCCAAAAGCTTCATTTCCATATTTACACATTTTTGTAAAATGCACGGGAAATCCACACTGCAAAGGCCACACAGGCCCACCTGCTCCCTGAAAGCCACTGTGAAACCTCCAATTCAGGAAAGCCCAAAGGCTCAAACCTCTTCATCGCTGCACTCACAAGATGCACTGCAGGACTCGTGTGCGCGAGTCAACATCCGTTCCTTGCCACCTGCGCATCGCTCAAATCACCATTAATCGAATGCCAGAACGTGGCAATGATGACAAACTGGCAGTGCAACTGGCAGGTGATGTCGGGACCTGTGCATCCCTGGTGTTGGGGTGAGGCCCTCAGTCACCCTTCTCGCCCGAGGGCCTCCCCTCTGTTTCCTCTGACAC